CCATTTACTACTATTAGTTCATTCATTGCAAGGTATAAAAAGCTCAAAACTGTTAAAAAACAAAGAAGAACAAGTGCTCCCATGATGTCGGTTGAAGACACACACACATACACACACACACACACACACACACATATATATATATATATATATATGAATAATGACATGCTGTTAAAATACACACACAAACACGCATATATATATATATATATATATATATATATATATATATATATATGTGTGTATATATATATATATATATATATATATATATATATATATGTGTGTGTGTATATATGTATATATATATATATGTGTTTGTGTGTATATATATATATGGGTGTTTTTGTGTGTGTATATATATATATATATATACGTTTTTGTGTGTATATATATATATGCGTTTTATTTATATATATATATATATATATATATATATATATATATATATATATATATATATATATATGCGTGTTTGTGTGTATTTTGGCAGCATGTCATTATTCAGGCACGTTATGTTTACCGCTGTTTACTCGATGACCTTTTTTTCTTGCTTTCTCGCAAGTTTTTTAATCTTTGAGACCTGGTTGTTAAAGTAGGTTCCCAGTCGATGATTTTATATAAATCCTTTATAATAATATCTGAAACAAAAGTTGAGATGATGAAACAAATAGGAAAAATCTATAAATGACGTTTCGCCTACGCCTGTTTGTCTCGGCTTCTTCAGGTCAGAATGAAAAACATAGGCAGACACACAGACAGATAAACAGAGACAGAGTGGGAATAGCGAAAGATTTTATTTTATTATTTTATAAATTCATATTAAACTACTCTATAATTGCAAAAATAAATAATATTTATCCGTCCGGCATTAGTTAATACTAAAATGTAACCAATGAAAAGGCGTATTTCTGTAAGTAAAATTAGTAGATGCTATTACATAAATGATACCACAGTTACATAATAATAAATACTATTACATAACTCATACTCTTATATAAATATAACGTACCAGAGAATGCCGAGTTAACTAAACAAATTATGAAGTGAACATGTTCATTTATATGCCTTGTTTCATCAGGGTGTGGTCGATCATGGATCTCTATAACACCCTATCCTTTGTAGCTTTTTTCGATGTTTGTCATTTTATTGCTAGAACAGGGAGTGGCACACTCTGTTCTGGCATCCATTATTACACAAGCTCGTTATTCGGATTTTTTCACTACAAGACAAGTAACCTTTGTACAAATACTTATAATTTTTGTAGATTTATATACTTTTATAGTTTAATTTTTTTTAAGAAGACATTCTGTTGAAATATTGTTTAAGATTTTCAAACACTGTTTTTTCTCTTTTTTTAAATCGCGCTCTTAACTGTTGAAAGACATTAGAAGAGTTATGCCAATCAATTTGGTTAATAATAATAATAATAATAATAATAATAATAATAATAATAATAATAAACATATTACAAAATAACAATAGCGCCGCCATGATGAAGTGGCTTCTCATCTGCATTGGTGCTTATATAGGAAAAATTAACTTGAAGTCAAAGAGATAAGAATTAACTCAGGATCTTGTGGAATTTCAACAGTCGAAGAGAGCGTGTCTTTGAGGCTACCACAAAAGAAAGAAAATTTCTAATCATTGGCGTGGATGTTCCTGGTGATCATAATAACAAGGCCAAAGAAATTGAAAAGCTTATGAAATGCACCGACCTCTGGATTGAGGTTGCCAGAATGCGGGACATTGAGGCCACTACTATTCCAGTTATCAATGGGGCGTTGGGAGTCTATACCTCCTTCTTTTATGCGCCGTGTCCATTCAGGACGTTGGTGATCATGGCTCTCCAAAATTTCCTCGAGCTGAAAATCTTACATACACTGAATGAAAACTAGTAGCCCATCGCTTCAGAAGCATGCGTTGCTTGGCGTTGTAAATATTCTTCGAAAGATGCCATCTTTTTGAGATCGTACGTAATGGAGAACACCCATAATGCAAGATCTTGGGTTGAAAAAAAAAACATGCCAAAGAAGGAATAATAATAATAATAATAATAAGAAGAAGAAGAAGAAGAATGAAATTCATTTATGGGATAAACTGGATAGGAAATATTATTATTATTATCAATAATAATAATAATAATAATAATAATAATAATAATAATGGACCAAATGTAGAAACGGTGGCAAGATAAGTCTCTTCAAGGTCAATACTCTACCCGTACCAAACATGCTGATGTAGATATACCCTTTCCGTAGCCAACAGTAGTTACGTAATGCAGCGTTAAAAGCTGAAAGCCAAGGTTTTATTCTTAGAGGTCCAATGCTTGCTAACTAGAAATTACCAATGCACACAAACTGAAAAATGATGTTAAACCGAAATGCAGATGCTTTGATAAATATCCAGAAACAATTGACCATCTTGTATCAGGTTGCACGGTATTAACATCAAAAAACTCAGCATGATAATATCTACACTGGAAAATCTGCAATATCTACGGAAAGGAAACTGCAAGAAATTGGTATGAATGTCACTCAGACCCGGTTACAGAGATAGGACCTGTAACAAGGAGATACGATGGAATAATGGATAGAGACTCGGATTGAAGAATCAAAGAGCCGAGTTCGAATTCCTGTTGAATCCATTACGTTCACTTACGTGCTAATACCCTTGGGAAAGGTATGAATCCTATTCTTCTCCTCTCCCCAGCTATGGGTAAATAGATAGCAGGATAGACCGGGTTCTATAGCCTTGGATGGAAACTGGTCTACCGCAGAAAGAAATGGCAACCTACTGCGGGAAAAATCTACCTCGTCAGTCATGTATCGAGAGATACATGATTGCCTAAGCTTGTATCACGCTTGGCACATAACTAACTGAACAATTTTATGGTACTTTATAATATACACTGACAGAACAATCAAAGCTAATCGCCCAAACATCATGATCAAAGACCACAAGAATAAAATGTGCTTTCTTATTGATATGACAGTTCCTGCAGATTGTAAAGTAATGTTTGAAGACCTCCAAAAAAACTGTCAAAATAGAATGATCTTAAAATGGAAATCTCACAAATGTGGCATATGAAGACATCAATAATAACAACAGTTGAAGCCATCGGATTGATTGGAAATGGTCCCGATAGACACATTGGAAGGATTCCTGGTAGACCATGCCTTAAAGAAATGCAAACAGTTGTACTAACAAGTACCACGCATTATGAATAAGCATTATCTATGTAAAATGGGTTAATCTTAGGTTTTTCTTTTGTTTTTTTTTTTAACGATCAGTGAAAAATATCATGAAGTCTGGTTGGGAAGGAAATGTGTATACAAGAGAAATCAAAGGAAATAATAATAATAATAATAATAATAATAATAATAATAATAAAAGTGACGCCTTATTGATATGGAAGTCCCTGCAGACTGCAATGTATCTTTGAAGATCTTCAAAAAGCTATCAAAATACAAGGACCTTGAAATCGAAATCTAGAAATGTGGCACATGGGAACATCAACAATCCTTGGTTGGAAAAGATTCCAGTAGACTAATTGAAGGATTTCCTGGAAGTCCATGCCTTAAAGAAATACAAAAAATTGTTCTCACGAGTACAGTCCACACCTTACGAAGGGCTTTATCTATGTAAAATATTTTTTTTTGTCAGTGGAAAATGTCATGATGCCATTTCTAACCTTAGGTCTCTGGGCGGGACACGGAACGAAATGTGTACACACCAGAAATAATAATAATAATAATAATAGTAATAATTTATGCCAGAAATCAAAAGAAATAATAATAATAATAATAATAATAATAATAATAATAATAATAATAATAATAATGGGAAGATATGCTGTCACTTGATTCCCATCAGCAAACACTAAAAAATACTGGGGTGAATATTTTCATGAGAAGAAAAATAAGAATAATAGAATACTGAATAGTGTAGTTAAGAGACTTGCTGTCACTTGGTCCACAGAAGCAAACACTAGGCAATACTGAAATTAAAATTCTCAAAATAACAACAATAAAGAGGGAGGGAGGGAGAGAGAGAGAGAGAGAGTAAGAATACTGAGAATATTTGTATGTCCACTGATATCCACTGATAACACCAGACACTACAAGGGATAAAATTCCTATAATAATAATATTGAAAAGGTTATTGGAATATTGACGAACTTGATGTCACTTGATCTACAGAAGCAACTATCAGATGCTACTGTCGGAAAATGCTTACAAATCGTAATAATAATGATGATGATAACAGAAGCGTCCTAGGTATGACGATAAACTACGTCCGGCAGAAAGGCGTCTGATCGGGAGATTTTGAGGAGTGTGGAACCATTTTTTAATTGCTGTTGTTTCCAGGACTACCTTGATCCGGGGTGGTAGCACCTGTTAGGGTCCCAGCTATTGGCACAATAGTGAACCCCTAAACAAAAAAAAAATACATTTTATATAAAAAAGATTATCAACAACACGCACATACTAACACACTGTAATGACTTCACCCAAATCCATTTAAAATGCTACCTAACAAGCAAAACGAAAGAACTTTCATGACGTTAATCCATATAATATTCGACAATTTCTTCAATCAAAATGTATCCCAAAATATAACTTCAACAAAACACATATCACCTTCTCTAGTAATTATGTCCACACAAACATGTATATGCACAAAAGCTTAGTATTATCTACCATGTATTCAGTTGTGAAAGCAGAATAACATATATCGTAATTTTATTATTTTCAAGCTCCCAAGTAAATTTGATATCCGCATTAAATGGCCCATAAGGAGTTAAACAGACAAATCAATGATAACAGAATAATGAGGAAAATACTGCGTATAGATGAGACTTGCTGTCACTTGGTCCACAGGAGCAACCACCAGCACTACGGAGGGAAAATACAATAAAAATACTGATCACGATAACAGAATAATGAAGAGAGTATTGGAGTATAGATGAGACTTGCTGTCTCTTGATCCTCAGATGTTTACGGCCACATCACGTTGAAACACCGGTTCCCGTACGATCACCGGAGTTAAGCATGCCGAGCCTGATCAGTACCTAGATGGGGGATCACTTGGGAATACTAAGTACTGTGAGCTTGGGTGTGCGGGTGGTGTAAAGGATAATTGCTAAGAACTGTTAATTGGTGAGCCGAATTCTAATTCCTGTTTGGTTCGTTATATTCACTTCTTCTCTCCCCAGCTATGGGTTAATTAGTAAGACTTGCATCCCTAAACTATTATTATGTCAAAAAAAAAAAAAAATCTTACAATGTAAAAATATTTTCTGGCTTTAAATAACCTGCAATGGGTCGATAATCCGAAGAAAACAAATCAACCAACCAATTGATTCTCAGAAGCAACTACCAGAAAATCAAAACTACTACTACTACTACTACTACTACTAATAATAATAATAATAATAATCCACCTCTTCTTCCCCCGGCTATAGGTTAATTAGTTAAACTTATATCACTAAACTATAATTATCTCCCCCAATTTTGATAATTTAAAAATATTTTCTGGTTTTAAATTTGCAATGGGTCGATAAGCCGAAAAAAACAATCAATCAACCAATTGATCCTCAGAAGCAACCACCAAAAATACTGATATGAAAACTACTACTACTAATAATAATCCACCTCTTCTCCCCTCAGTTATGGGCTAATTAGTAAAACTTGTATCACTAAATTATTATTATCTCTCCCCACCAATTTTGGCAATGTAAAAATATTTTCTGGCTTTAAATAACCTGCAATGGGTCGATAAACCGAAGAAAACCAATCAATCAACCAATCGATCCTCAGAAGCAACCACCAGAAATACTGAGATGAAAACTACTAACACTACTACTACTACTACTACTACTACTACTAATAATAATAATAATAGCCTGATGTTATACCCGGCATGTCTCTAATGGTTTCTGATCTTAATTAATTGAAAGTTTTATTAGGCACATGTTTTTGTTTTGGTGAATTAAAATCGGCCACAGTAAATGTCCATTCAGTATTACAGATTTGCTTGCCACTTGCCTGACTGGGAATGTCACCTAGTAGCGTCTCTGTTGTTATGCTAAAGTAGTCGGTGAATATCATGGCTGAGTACCCAGAGGATTGCTTGAAGGATGAGGAAGACAAGGCGACTTGTAAGTCATCACATCTAGATAATTTGGAATACCATCAATCGGAGACGGTCTGAGCAGACTGGGTTATACGATGTGGGGATATTTCTGATAGCCCCCAACAAGGATACATTCTGCTATCACAGCCTGTTGCTATATCTCACACATTTGGTTTTGATAGACTCACTAAATGGATACCTGGTAAACTATGCCTTAAAACAATATTCTCATAAGCACAACTCATATCTTACAAAGGGATATAATGATGTAAAACATATATACCCTTAGGTTTTATTTATTTATTTTTTACAAAAATGATCAGCGCCATTTCTGACCTTAGGTCTCTGGTTAGGACTAAGAAGTAATTGAGTATACAATAGAAATCAAAGGAAATAAAAAGAATAATAATATATTTTTTTTTTTTTTGCCAGTGGAAAGTGTCATGATGCCATTTCTAACCTTAGGTCCCTGGGCGGGATCCGGAAAGAAATCAAAGGAAATAAAAATAATAATAATAAAGATCTTAAAAGAAACTATCAAAATACAAGTGGAAATCTAAAAAACGTGACACATGAGGACATCAATAATTCCAGTTGTAGTTGGAGTCCTCGGATTGATTGGAAAAGGCTCCGATAGACACATTTAAGGGATTTCTTGTGGACGATAAGGAAATCAAAAAAATTGTACTCACAAGTAGAGCTCACACATTATGTAGAGCTTTATCTATGTAAAATGTGTGTGATCTTAGGGTTATTTTTACAAAAATGCTCAGTGGAAAATGTCATTTCTCACCTTATGTCTCTGGTTTGAACCCAGAAGGACGTGTGTATACAACAAAAATCAAAGGAGATAATAATAATAATATTAATAATAATAATAATAATAATATATAATAATATATAATAATATAGTAATAATAATAATATATAATAATAATAATATATAATAATATATAATAATATAATAATAATAATATATAATAATATATAATAATATAATAATAATAATAATATATAATAATAAATAATAATATAATAATAATAATATATAATAATATATAATAATATAATAATAATAATAATATAAATAATAATAATAATAATATATAATAATATAGTAATAATAATAATATATATATAATAATAATATATAATAATATATAATAATATAATAATAATATATATATAATAATATAATGATATAATAATAATAATAATATATAATAATATAATAATAATAATAATAATATATAATAATATAATAATAATAATAATATATAATATAAAAATAATATATAATAATATATAATAATATAATAATAATAATATATAATATATATAATAATATAATAATAATAATATAATAATATATAATAATATAATAATAATAATAATATATAATAATATAATAATAATAATATATATATAATATAGTAATAATAATATATAATATAATAATAATATAATAATATATAATAATATAATAATAATAATATATAATAATATATAATATAATAAATAATAATATATAATAATATATAATAATATAATAATAATAATAATATATAATAATATAATAATAATAATAATATATAATAATATAGTAATAATAATAATATATAATATAATAATAATATATAATAATATATAATAATATAATAATAATAATATATAATAATATAGTAATAATAATAATATATAATATAATAATAATATATAATAATATAATAATAATATAATAATAATAATAATATAATAATAATAATAATAATAATAATAATAATAATAATAATAATAATAATAATAAATATTGAAGAGAGTACAGGAGTACTGGGGAGAGATGTCATTTGTTACCCAACAGGAACCACCAGCCAGATATTACTAGGATGAAAAAATTGACAGAACATCAAGCAGCGTGCATTGGAGAGTCTAGTTTGCATTTGATTGTTAGCGAGAGTGACCTGATATTACTGTTGTAAAAATCTATATAATAATAATAATGAGTTTGAAAGAAGCCTGTGTTTTACTGCTTGTCTACAAAGACATGGAAACCACCTACTGAAATTCACCTGCCCTCACAACAAATGAAGAGGGAGAAGGCGCTTGCTCTCCGCCCTAGTGACAAATAGGGAGTAGGTAGTTCGCTTCCTCCTGTCACTCGCTAACGCACTCTCCCATTCTCACTGACAGGACAATAAAGTCACTTCGCAAACTATCAACAGTTTTCCTTGTCCGACGAACGAAGAAGGAAGATAACGTAACGTACATAAGGAACAACAATCTCTTTTTTTTTTAATTCTCTATTTTTTCCTGTACTGTGGATTGCTTTTTCAACTCGGAGAATTGAATTACACTTCGTACATACTTCAATACAGATCTATATTTGACGTCTTTCCTCAAAGTACATATTCAACCCGGCATATTTTAAAAATGTACGCACTCATTCATACTTACAGATTATTGTAAAAAAAAAAAAAAACCCTACATTTACATAAACAAGCATACTCGCCTGCTTACATTCATATATATCATTATATATATATATATATATATATATATATATATATATATATAAATATATATGCGTCCATGCCATATCTACACGTATGCCCACACACAAATGTAGGAGGATAAATGTGGATAATTCTGGATTAACCAATAATGCCAGATACATGATTTATTTTTAATATAATTTTAACAAATGCTTTTTTATACTTACATATACTTGGATAAATATCTCTCTCTCTCTATATATATATGCGATATATGTTGCAATTTTATGCTGAGATTATACCACTTCCAAAAGGTTAGTATCTTTATATTTTTATTCTATTTATTTTTTTTTCTTTTTCTGGGACGGACACAGACATTTCTTTTCTTATTCCAAATAGATTTAATATTGTATTGTTTTGTTTGTTGGAAAATCCTGATATACTTGAAAAACATTTCCATGTTTAGCAAATATATGGGTATTTATTTATCAGCACGCCCACGTCGCAACGGAATGTGACACAAGGTCAGTTTAAAGTGGATTTGCCGGCAATATCGTGGAAAAATTGCTGAAGCCTCTTCGGCGCTTCCCCATTTACGCCGGGTAATAACCCCAGCTTTCTCCAGTAGGAGAGGCAATGCCCAGGCGATGCCACCTTGGGGCTTGAGTTGATGTTGTTTCCAAAACTTTTTCGGCAAAAGACAGGTATGTATTCAGCAAATATATGAATTCAATGTGTGCTGATTTTGTAGTTAAGTGTGGTGGGGTGTACATTAAATAAGTTCTTTTTATTCGTTCTGTATCTTTTCAAAACTACGTACGAAAAATCCCTTACGCGCAAAGTTACTTACATTAACATCAATCAGCTAAGTGACAACTTTTATATTTGCATGTGTGTGTGTGTGTGTGTGTGTAAATATATAGAAAAATAGGAAAGAACACGTTAGGTAAATAATCCGGAGTTCTTTAGTATTTTTGTATTTATTTAAAAAAAAAAAAAACAGTGCTCCATACAGAAGTAGAGCTTAGATTATAATTATTTTAAAAAAAAATATGATTCCTTCGCTACATAAGTGTTCTCATGTTTCAAAAACAAGAGCCAAAAACCTCAATATAATTATTAAAATTAAATTGAATTAAAGCATCGAGCCCTGTTTCATCCTCAAGCGAAAATTTAAGAATGAATATCATCATTGCACTATAATAATCTGTGTAGACACATGTGTCGAAAGTGGTACATTTTCAACTATTTCAGACAAAAAAAGTAAGAAGTTATTTGTAATTATTAAAAAGTTCTAGGTACTATTCAATATTTTTATTCACATGAAGAGATTTTAAAAGGAAAAGAAATTCTAGAATATATATATATATATATATATATATATATATATATATATGTATGTGTATATATATATATATATATATATATATATATATATATATATATATATATATATATATATATAAAAATAATAAAATAAAC